CCCACCGGCCTCCACCCCCACAGCTTCCCCGTGGGAACCAGGCCATGTGGTCCTCGCACCTCACGGACGTGGCTCTTGGGTGTGACAGGCCACCTCCCGCCCACCCCGGCATTTCCACGATGTGTCTCTTCTCCGGTGGGGTTGTTCCGTGGGCTGTGGTCCCAGGGCCGCCCTGGTTGGGCCTCAGAGGACGCATGTAGTTTACCGTAAACACGCACGTCGGTTCCCTCGCGTCCCCCGCGTGTACCCAGGCATTGGGAAGTTGTCCCCCTACAGAAGTTCCTCAGCCCCTTCCCCACCCCCGGCGCTGGAATCTGGACCAGACACAGGTCCTTGAGTCAAGACACGGGGCATGGCCTGGGTCCTGTCTGTGGGTCCCCCCATCCCCGAAAACCTGGGGGGGCATAGAGCCTCGTTCCCTCTTGTCTGCGAGGGCCTACGGGGGAAACTGAGGCCTGCACCCTTGCCGTCTCGTTCTCAGAATGAAATTGGCTGGCGCAACGTCACGCGGCTGCTGGTGTTTGCCACAGACGATGGCTTCCACATTGCGGGTGACGGGAAACTGGGTGCCATCCTGACCCCCAATGACGGCCGCTGCCACTTGGAGGACAATATGTACAAGAGAAGCAATGAGTTTGTGAGTGTCCCCTCCCGGGGTGCACGGGGGGAGGGGACACAGCACAGCGACTGTGGAGGGGACACTGGGCCAGAGGGGTCTGTGGCTCAGCCTGGGGAACTGGAGGCTAGGGTCACCCCAGGCCCACTGAGAGTGCGCAGCTGGGGCCAGGAGGGCAGGACGGGGCGGGGCAGAGGGACAGGGGGAGCTTCAATGGCTCGGAGAGGTCACACACTCTCTGCTCTGGGGGTGCAGCGAAGGCCCGACCCACTGCCCCTCGTGGGCGTTTGCGTAACCTGCTGTGCAGTGACATCTGCACCCTAAAACCGTCATCGGGTGTTCAAAAGACCTGAAGGGCACTACGAGTCAGGGATACCTGCTTGGAGCCGACACCCTCCTGGGGTGGGTGCTGCAGGTCAGTTTCAGGGGCCCACGACTCGGACAGGACCAGTATGACGGCTGAGGTTCTGGGGAGCCTCTGCCTGAAACAGCGTGTCCTTCAACTGTGAAAATTAAGGCCCTGTGCTGGGGGCAATGTCTGAGACCTGCCCGGAAGACATCAGAGGAGTCCCCCAGCACCCCACAGCGTGGGCACCTCAACGTTATGCCTACTCTCGTCTCCACTCTGAATGCCCGGACTGCTGATTGTCCTGAGGTTTCGTTGGTGCCCGGATCGAAAGCACGTCCCAGCTTTGCCGTTTTCACGGCCATGGGGCAGGATCGTCAGTCTCCCTGATAGTCCTATTATTTGTCAACATCAGTGAGAAGGGCCCTGGCGATGGCACGTGGAAGGGCTCAGCCTCTGGGCCCTGGACGGTCGCTCCTGGCACCGGGTGCTGCAAACGGGCGGGCAGGACGGCTGGTTCCAGCCTCGGGCCCGAGTGACCGGGCGTCTCTTGTCCAGGACTACCCATCCGTGGGCCAGCTGGCGCACAAACTGGCCGAGAGCAACATCCAGCCCATCTTCGCCGTGACCAAGAGGATGGTGAAAACCTATGAGGTATGTGGGCTCGGGGTCTTGAGCAACCGGGCGAGATGCAGCCATGTCAGCAGAATGATGACAAAACCCAGTGTCACCACAGGCTGAGTTCTGCTTCCGCGGGCCAGGCACGTGGAGAGATGGCCTCTCTGGGGCCACGGTCTCGGGGGACGTGATCACTGCTGCCGGGGAGCCCGAGGCCTCTTTCTGCCACATGACATTTCCGTGTGGATGAAAAAGGGTTATTTCCTTGTCCGCGAAATTCAGCACATCGGCAGCTTACCTCTTGGTGTTGGTCGTGAGGTTTCTGCTTTTGCAACAATGTAGCGAGCGTTGGAATCTGCAGGGAAAACTCTCCAGCTTTGTATCCACACCCACCTGAATGTGGGCACTTTGGAGAAGTGTAAGATACAGCAGGAAAGTTCACGAACTTGGGCCTGCCCCGGGCCTTCCCACATAATCCCTTGGCCACTGCCGGGGCCCCACCCGCGGCCGCCTCCCCGCGGAAACCACCCGCTCCTGAGATCACTTCCTCCTGGCCCGACTCTGAATCACTGTGCCTCCCACCCTCGGAAGCGGGAGGCGCTCGTGGGGCTTGTCTCCGTCCCCACAGCGGCTTCGCTGTCCTTCCTCGTCTCCCCCTCGTCGCTGTTGTGTTTGCTTGCCACAGTTTGGCGGGGTGCCTCCTCGCACAGATGCCTCTCACTCTCTGGCCCCTCACTGTCCCTCCATCCAGCTCGACCCTCTGCTGCTGCCGGTGGCCTGCTGCGGCCTCGGCCTGGGAGGCGCAGGGCACTTGCCCGCAGCCAACGGCGAGACCAGTAGTTGCTGCCGTCACTTTTCCCAGACTCTGGAGCGAGGATGGGACCTCTCCAGGGACACGGGGAAGGGGGAGGGGGCAGGCAGCGGGAGCTGGCCAAGCCACAGGGACACTGGCTTAACTCCTTGCAGGGCTGACGGCTGGATGCAGCAGGTCCAGAGACCGCCCGCATCAGCTGCACCAGCACCAGCAGGTCGAGACCTCGACTGTGTTATAGGACACGGCGGCCCCCTTCTCGGCAGGTTGGAGCTGGTCCCAATACTGCTATTAGCAGCAGCAACAGGAGCGGTGACAGGGCGGAAGCTAGGCAGGAGGCCTGAACCCCAAACCCTGCCCCCGACAGCATAGACAAGGCCCTGGGCAGTCACAGGCCTTTCCGAGCCCGTTCCCCGGCTCCCATTCACCGTGCTTCTGACAAATAGGCGTCCAGACGCCCCCTAGCCTGTAAGGACAGCGTGCACTGGCTCTTCTGTGGTCTGAGTCCCCACATGGGGGAGGGAGAGGCATGGAGGAGCGCAGCTGCCCAGCCACAGTGGAGCCCCACAGCCGGGGCGGGAGGGGGCAGGCGGTGGAGGCAGAGGGGGCTTGTGAGCTCCACAGAGGCGACGGGTCCATTCTGGGGAGTCACAGAAGGCCCTAAGGCAGGAGAACGACCCAGTGGTCACGTCTGTAAGATAAAGCGGCGCCATCTTCTGTGAAAGATGGTGCGACCCCTGAGCTGAGCCAAGGTGGGTGTGTGTGTGGGGAGGGGTCCCAGACCTGTCTGCATCGCAGGTGCTTGAGCCTGCGACCCCAGGGTGCCGCTGGACCAGCTGAACCTGGCCAGACGGAGCCAGGCTGGCAGGTTTTTCCCAGCACGGTCATTATCAACTCCTGCAAATGCTCAGAGCTCGTCCCTTCCTGGCGGGCGGGCAGTTTCCGACGGCCTGCGCCCTGGCCGTCCGCGCGTCAAGCCGGCGTGGTGAAGCAGTGCCTGTGGCGAGGTGCACCTCTCCCCAGCTCCAGTCGGCCCGGGGACAGGGTGTTCGCACCAGCAGAGTCGGCACATGGGACACTTCGGGGCTTTTCCTGGAGAGCGCGCAGCACGCCCTGACCTCGAGCTGCCAATTAAATAAGCTGCGAAGTCGGGTGGGGGGCGTCTGCGCCACCCGACAACGGAGAAGGGACCCTCTGGGCCTCAGGAACCTTGGACGCGGGGTCCTGTGGCCCCCAGGGTGCCCGTGTGACCCGCCTGCCCTTCTCCCTGACAGAAGCTCACCGAGATCATCCCCAAGTCGGCGGTCGGGGAGCTGTCCGAGGACTCCAGCAACGTGGTCCAGCTCATCAAGAACGCCTACAACGTGAGTGCCCGGTGCCCGGCCCGGACGCCACCACCGCGGCTGTCAGGAGGGTGGGCTGGAGAGCCGAGCCCTGCCTCACGTGGGCCACCCTCGGCCCCCCGGAGTTCCCACAGGGCCACTGTGTCCTCTCTCGTGGATGGTGTGGTCAGTGCCACGCCAGAGCCTCACCCATGCCCTCTCTGAAACACGAGCGCGAGGCCTCTTCTGGCTCACGGTCCCAGTGGCCTCACCCAGCACCGCTCCCCGGGAGCACCCGATCGACGCTGGTACCACTGGACTAAGCTAGAGCCCTAACGGGGAGGTTCTGAGGGCGTCTTGTACCTACTGGGAGCCCTAGACTCCTAAAATGGGCCCTCCTGGAGCCCCCATGCGGATGGCGTCCTGTCTCCATAAGGACGACGCCACAAATCTCTCTGCCTCCCTCCCTCCTCCTTTTCTCTGTGTCTGTCTGTCTGTCTGTCTGTCTCTGTCTCTCTATCTCTGTCTGTCTCTCTCATCTCTGTCTCTGTCTCTCTGTCTCTGTCTGTCTGTCTGTCTCTATCTCTGCCTCTCTCTGTCTCTGTCTCTATCTCTGTCTGTCTCTCTCATCTCTGTCTCTGTCTCTCTGTCTCTGTCTGTCTCTCTGTCTCTGTCTTTCTGTCTCTTTGTTTCTGTCTCTCTCTGTCTCTGTCTCTATCTCTGTCTCTCTCTCTCTCTATCTGTCCATCCTTCTCTCTCTGTGTCTCTCATTCACTTAAACAGCCTTCCGGCTCCTGCCTGTGCCAGGTGCCGGGGACTCAGTGGTGAATGGGGCGGTCGAGCCCCCGTCCTCGTGGGGTTGTGGTCTGTCTCCACGCTGGTCCCCTCACTGGCCTGTCTTCAGGGCAGGGCCGTGGTGTCGGTCCCCCCCCCCCCCCTGGGATGCAGACCAGGCACCTACCCACGTCTAAGCGGGCCTCTGGGCAGAGGGTGGGGGATGAGAAACAGGGAGGCCATGCCCTAACCCTCCGTGAAAGGCTCACTCTTCTCCCACAGAAACTGTCCTCCAGGGTCTTTCTGGAGCACAGCACCCTCCCCGACACCCTGAGAGTCACCTACGACTCCTTCTGCAGTAACGGAGTATCACAGGTGAACCAGCCCAGAGGGGACTGTGACGGCGTCCAGATCAATGACCCGGTGAGCCTCCATCCCAGTGATCCCAGTGTTCTGGAAGGTTCTCTCCCAGTGACAGCTGGAGGAAGTGCCCCTGGGCAGAAGGTTCCAGCTCAGGAACGAGTCAGGGAGGGGCAGGAGCCAAGGTCCAGCAGCAGCAGGTCCTGGTCCTTCAAATCCTCTCTGAGGCCAGACGTCGCTCTTGGGAGTGTCCATCTCAGGGGAGGAGGGGCGCAGGGGGTGCCCTTGGCCCTGGCCGGGAGTGGCCTCTCCAGCACCAAGGACGGGTGTAGACGGATGACCGCATGGGTGACGGCGCCCCCTGGGGGTGGATGCCGGAACAGTGCGTGCTGGCAAACGAGCGCGCCCCTCCCCTCACGGCCCGCCTGGGGCGGTGTGGTTTTCCTGACTTTCGTGTTTTTGCTGTTTTCGGTCAAAGACATTAACGCGCGGGCCACGCAGATGCTCAGAAGTAAACGCTGAGTTACTGCCCTGTTTCAAGTTCCTGGCGACCACGACAATTACGTTTTTCTTTTTACTGGCTACGAAATACTTGATTTAGGTCATTTTTAAACGTGACATCGGCATTTCTTCAAATGTGGCGTTTCTTCAGACTCAGTGTTGCCCGTGCATTTTTACCGAATTCTCTCCTCCTTTACCGAATTCTGCACGGGGCGAACCCTGGGCAATTACTGTCTTGCGACTGGCGATGGCTTCTCGCACACACCTGTCCCAGCCTCACTCTGCTCCGGGGCAGCGGCTGCATTTAAACTGGTCTGGGGTGTGCCTCGCTCCGGCGCAACCCGAGGCTCAGTGCCGTCGCCCCCTCCTGGTGTGCGGGTGGCTGGCGGGGTCTGTGCTCTGTCCCACGGGGTGTTTTTGGGCGTGATCTTGACGGCTTATTCAGGTCAGAACAGAGCTGTGCGGTCAGCACGGACGACGTCCTGTGGGGTTTGGGCGCCTTGACGTTCAGAGCTGGGGGACGAAGTATACGCTGCCTACAGAGTTGCTTGATAATCCTCGTGAACGCACGTGCAGCAGGAAGTGTTCTAGAGACCGTCCCGCGAGCTAAGTCCGAGCCAGAGGTGGCGGGTCGGGAGCGCCGTGGGCCTCCCGCCACCAGGCCGGCTCCTCGTTCTTCTCCATCTCAAGACCCAGGTTCCGGAGAAACTCATGCTCTTGCGGTCCCCCACTGCCATCCGCCCCTCCCAGGACCCCTGAGGGGCCGGCACCCTCCACGCCTGGGAGCGGCTTTGTGACCGCGCGGTGTCCGGCCTTGCCTGAGCCCTGCCGTGCCCCACAGGTCACCTTCCAGGTGAAGGTCACGGCCGCAGAGTGCATCCAGGAGAAGTCGTTTGTCATCCGGGCGCTGGGCTTCTCGGACACGGTGACCGTGCAGGTCCTTCCCCAGTGCACGTGCCAGTGCCGAGATGCGAGCCGGGACCGCGGCCTGTGCCTCAACAAGGGCTCCGTGGAGTGTGGCGTCTGCAGGTGAGGCCCCCCCCACCACGGCAGGCACCGGGGCGGCCGCCGATGGCTTCCCCAGCACCAGGGGCCTGCGGGAGGCCTGAGCCGTCCCTCCCGCCCAGGTGCGACGCCGGCTACATGGGGAAGAACTGTGAGTGCCAGACGCAGGGCCGCAGCAGCCAGGAGCTGGAGGGGAACTGCCGCAGGGACAACGCCTCCGTCATCTGCTCGGGGCTGGGGGACTGCGTCTGCGGGCAGTGCGTGTGCCACGCGAGCGACACGCCCACCAAGAAGATCTTCGGGCGGTTCTGCGAGTGCAACAACTTCGACTGCGAGCGCTACGGCGGCCACGTCTGCGGAGGCCTCGGTGAGTGCGCGGCGGGGACGGAGCGCAGCGGGACCCAGCGGGCGGCGGGGCCCAGCGGGCGGCGGGGACGGAGCACACGGCGGGGACCGAGCACGGACAGACCTGAAGGAAAAGCAGGTCCTGGCCTGGGTTCTGGTGAGCAGAGGGCCAGGTCGGTGGGTCTGGGGTCGAGCAGCGGTGACTCTGCGGTGGCCCCACTGTCACCCAGGTCGTGGGGAGTGCTCCTGCGGCAAGTGCCTCTGCAAACAGGACTTCGAGGGCTCAGCCTGCCAGTGCGAGAAGTCCAGCCAGGGCTGCCGGAACCTGCGGGGCTCCGTGTGCAGCGGCCGGGGCCAGTGCCAGTGCAACACGTGCCACTGCGAGGCGGGGTACCAGCCGCCCTTCTGCGAGGAGTGCCCCGGCTGCCCGTCGCCCTGTGGCGGGCTCATGTGAGTGCTCCCTCCACGGGGCCGGGCCTGGTGTCCCTACAGGCCCACGGCACACGCCCTTTGCCTGGCTGAGGCCCCAGGAGGGGACGGGGCGGTGGGGGGCGGGCGCTCCTGTGGGCTGCCCGCCTCCAGCTACAGGGGTCACAGGCCACCTTGGGCCCCGTCCGTCCACCTTCTAGGTCCCAGCGCCCATGCTCGCCTCACACCCCAGGACCACCCCCTCCGACCCTGACCTCACAAGCACCGGGCGGCAGCCCAGAGCCCCCAGGACCCGCCACCAGACTGCCTTGGTCCCCGACACTGGCGCCCCCTCACGACCTCACACTTTCTCCACCGCCGCCTCACGCACCCTCGTACCCTCCGGCCAGTGCACGCCCTCGCACACGTGCTCACACAGTCGCTCGCCCGCAGCTCCTGTGCCGAGTGCCTGAAGTTCGACAAGGGCCCCTTCGAGAAGAACTGCAGTAAGGCCTGCGAGAACCGAACGCTGCTGAGCAAAACCCCCGAGCCCGGGCGGGTCAGCGCCCCGGGGCTGACCCGGCGATGCAGGGAGCGGGACTCGGAGGGCTGCTGGGTGAACTACACCCTGTGGCAGCAGGATGGGAAGGACACATACAGCATCCTGGTGGACGAGCAACGGGGTGAGTCCCAGAGGGCAGGGACAAGGGGCGGACCTGGGTCGCAGGGCCTCTGGTGTTGACGAGGCTGCTGTGCAGGGCAGGGGCCCTGCCCTGATGCGGTGGGGGCCTGGCAGGGTCTGGCGAGCGTCCAGGACCGTGGTCCTGCCGCCTGGCCCCTCTGCACCATCTCTGACTTCACCTTGAGGTGCATGACAACCAGTGGACAGCCTGTCCCCTCGCTCAAGGGGACAGAACCTGGCTGGGATGACCACACGGCCTGGGTTGGTAAATGCCCACAAACGCTGACAGGGCCTGGAGCCCTGTGTCTCAGAGCCGCATGTCCTGTGCCGGTCCAGGGACACCTGCGGGGGCTGCGGGCCATTCTCATACTCAGAGCTTGGCCCTGGGGGTGCCAGGGGCCCGGGAGCCCAGCCCCACCTTTCCCAAGACCTGCAGGCTGTCTGTGTGTGCGGTTCCGGGTCCCTGCCGGGCCCGGCTATCGGTGAGGATGTGGAGGCACCAACCCGGTCTTCACGGGGCCATGTGCCAGGGGTGTAGGACCCCCTCCGCCAACGTGTCAGAACACCAGCCGAGACGACAGGGGGCTGTGGCTGGGGACACAATGTGCAAAGACCATGCAGGGGGTGCTCTCCGAGGTCAGAGGTCAGAAGGAGGAGGACGACAAGGAGAGCTGAGCCCAGAGGGTGATGCTCCAGACAGAGGGGATGGGCTGTGCAGTCGGAGGCGCTGGGCACTGGTCGCCTGGGGCCCTGTGAGTCTGGGGAGCAGATGGGTGTCTCTGTACATGTAGCAGGAGGCCCTGGCAGGGTCCCAGGAGAGCGGGCGACACACCGGAAGTACTTTCAAGATCCAGACGCAGACCACCAAGGGCCTGAGTGGACATAGACTGGGAGGGGCCTGGGGACGCTGCCCTAGTTAGCTGGCAACTGGGCCCCTTCTCTGTGAACGAGAGGCCCCGCAGTTTCACTTGGAACCGCAGGGCCCGGCCTTGTCTGCGGTCCTGCCCGCTTCCCGGCTAAGGGCCCGGCGGGGCAGTTTGCCCACCTACCGGCGGCTAAGAGCTGTCCACCTGAGCACCACGCAGTGACCTGGGACCCGGGCACACCCCGGGCCTGTAGCCAGAGGGGGTGCTGATGCTTGGGGTGCATGTGCTTCCTCCTCACCTCAGAGTGTCCAAAGGGCCCCAACGTTGCTGCCATCGTGGGGGGCACTGTGGCGGGAGTCGTGCTGATTGGAGTTCTCCTGCTGGTCATCTGGAAAGCACTGACTCACCTGAGCGACCTCAGGGAGTACAAGCGCTTCGAGAAGGAGAAGCTCAAGTCTCAGTGGAACAATGTGAGTGGCCATCCCCGGGGGGCTGAGGCAGCTGGCCCCACACGCAGGATGCCCCGGTGTAACCCCCACGCGTGGACGCCCACCTGCGCCCACCCCCAGCGCACCTGGGGCTAGAACGGGCGGGGAGGTCGCCCTCCCCCGCACCCCCCCCCCGGCGGCACTGATGAGCCCCCTCTGCTTTTCTACCCAGGAAAACCCCCTTTTCAAGAGTGCCACCACGACGGTCATGAACCCTAAGTTTGCTGAGAGTTAGGGGTGCTTGGCGAAGATGAGGCCATCTGAACCGACCAGAAGGAAGCACCCCCAAACTACATGTCCTCCGTCAGGCAGACTGCGACCTCGCCCGTGCACACAGCTTCCGACGCCTGACCATTTGATCCATTAACCAAAAATCCAGTTTCTTCTGCCCTCAAAATGACAGCTACAGCCAGGTGACTCCACGGACTCACCAGGAGAAGCAGCCCCCCCTGCCCCTGACGAGTGGGACCGTAGATAGAGACGAAGGAGGGCTCACTGGGCCTGACGAGGTTAGATGCATGCCTTCCTGTGTAGAGATGAGATGCTCCTTTGTTCAGGGCGGTGAACCCATGTTTGTTCCTGCACCCTAATCACGGTAGACGCTCACACCCACTGATTACACTGGTCCCCGGCCATGCATGTGGAAAGGTGAATAAACTCTGTGGAGGCTGTCCATGGAGGCCGGGCTCTGCACACTGTGTCCTCCCGCCCTTCCCCCACCGCCCGGACCACACTGGGGGCGGGGGGGGGGCCGGGTGGACTCTGGTGTCTCCTCTCTTCCCTCACCTGTTGGCTGTGCACGCGAGGCCCCTCTGGGTCCCAGGCCCTGCCCCGCATGTAAGCAGCTTGCAGAGAGAGGCCTGGGGACAGCCTCGCCGAAGGGGGTCCCTAGGCTCCCGATGAGGGCAGAACGAGCCAGGAAACGGTGTCTGCCACAGCTCCCCGGCTGCACGCCTGCTCCCAGGGAATGGGCGGTGGGAGCCAAGCCCCGAGTTTACAGTGAGTCGTTTCCCACGGGCCATCTCATGGGGGGGCTTGGACGTCGTGGCTGATCCGGTGACACCGGCACCATGTTAGCAGGCTTCGCAGAGCCAGGGTCTGAGTGTGGCCCGTGAGAGCCCAGCAGGGTGGGGAGTCCTAGGATTCCCCGGGAAAGGGCCCGAGTGCGAGACTTTGACGTCCTCTGCCCCCCGGGGGCGCTCGCTGTCTCTGGTCTCCATGTTGCACAGATGTGAGAGGGGCGTGGGTACGGGGCGCGTCACGAGTCGGCGTTCTCGTGCACAGCACAGGTTCGAACGACGTTTGCCTTGACCTTTTTCCTTGGAAATACTCAGTTCTTATTACAATCTTGGCATAACTCTCCATTTAAAAATATCCGTTCGTTCTAAACGCACTAACAGAGCCCAGCTATGTGCCAGTCACCGTGAGAAAGCGTGGGCACACACAGCTACGTCCTGGGTCCTGGAGGCACGTGGAACCACACAGCCAGCATAAAGTTGCAAGTGACATGTGCTGGACAGCACACAACGCGGACTTAGAGCAAGAATGAGAGACGTGAAACCAAGTCCCTTGCCCACCGAACTGCTCGTGACTCTCACCGCCGGCTGCCCTGCTGCTCTTCCCCCTCCCCAGAGAAAGCTCCCTCTCTCCCCCCGGGGTGCGTGGTGTGTGCGGCTCCCACCCGCCCAGCTCAGAGCTCTGACGTCCACATTCTCTCCTGCCTCCTGGTGTCTCAGGGGGCCTGGTGTGTTTCCTCGGCCCTCCCAGGCCTCACGCCTCTCCCTCCACAGGGTGACAAGGGCCGTGCCCACGCTCCCGCCTCGGTCCCCATCACTCTAGCCGTCACCTGGCATCACTCATTCCCCACTCCGGTGACCGGCCCTCCTTATAAACAAGCGTATTTGAAACGGACTAGCCAAAGACTGACCTTTCTCGTATCAGTGGTGCCCCCCGGTCCCACGGCCAGGGGGAGAATCGGGCTTTATTTTCCCCACCCAAATTGTTCAAACTCAACTGAACATGACACAGTCGCTTTCAGTGTTGGCCCCCCCTGAAATGCTGGTCGAAACCCTTCCCGTGGTCACCCCCTCGCGGGGGAACCTGTCCTCCCACATGGGCTGCATGTTGAGGGGCCCACCCTCGACTCAGGTGCCAAACCCATGCAGATGCTCCCACCCGACGTGGCACAAGCACGTCCAGGGAAGTTTGGCGTTTCTCCAGACTGCTCTCCTTCCTCTGGGTTCCCTCGGTGGGGTAAAGGGTCTTCCAGGTGTTGATGTAGGAACGTCCAAACCTGTAGAGGATCTTTATGGAGATTATTTGAGCCCAACTGACTTGCCGGGAAGCAAGATCGCAAATGCTCGGCCGAATGGCAGTTTTGCAGTCCCTTACACATTTGGAATTAAGGAAGGAATGTAAAGACGTTCACATGAAGCGGGGAGAAAGCCAGGCGGGGGCATCTCTGATGGAATTACAGGACAGGTAACGAGATCATGTGCTCCTTTGAGGGCACTCGCCTCTGAGGGGTCTCCAAAGAGGATTACTCTGGCGTTTCAAAGGTGTGTTAACCTTCATGCAGACAGCAAAGGTAAGCCTTTTACTACAGAAGTCCCGGGCCTGGGGCATGACTACCCACTGCAGCCTGCCCAGTGAGGGGTTTGTGATCAGATCACCCTGCCAGGGCACTTCCCATCACTGATTGGATACAGAGCCCCTTTCTCCTTCAAGGGGATGGGGTGGGGGGTGCAAGTGTGGCTGAATGGCCAGGGGTCAGGGTGCCTAGGGCAGGTGTAGGAGGACTTGGGGAGTCAGCGATGAACGGCCAATGAGGTGTCAGGGAACCGGGGTGTCCAGAGCCAGAATCTTCCAGGCCCAGGTCAGTCCAAATGCATTTGCTCAGCATGACCCGTGGGCTCAACCTAGGAGGAACTGCGGCACAGTCAGTCCCCGGGGCCACCGTCAAGGACTTCACCGTTTCAGAGAGAAAGCCATGGCACACCCGAGCCCTCCAAACAGCTCTCGCAGTCGCGCAGGCGTCCTAAGCGGCAGTCAGGAACCCCCCTCGCGGCCCGGCTTTCGCGCAGGCGCACTAAGCGGCGCGCCGCAGGGGGCGGGGCTGAGGGCGGGGCGGGGCTCTGGGGCCCGCGGCTGGGCCCTGGCCA